ATAAGGACTAAGTGTTATTAGCAATCTGGATCTTTGCTTTTAATTGTCTCCTGGAAATTAAAGCAGGGTTGGGAAATGTGTAGGGTAGCATAACTAGCTACAATAACAGCAAAAATGTTGTCTACCAACAATGTCTTATTCATGGTACCAATGTTTGCTTTGCAGAGAGGAGCTATTGGGTCAAGTGCCACTTTCATATTTGAGATGCCAGGCATGCATAGAATGATGGTCTTCCTCAGTTATCAATGGTTTTCAATCATATTTGACTCTATGGCCTGAAGAGAAGTAGCTCATGTGTGAGAAATAGAGAGATTTACATGCAGAAATAATAGTTCTCTTAGAAAATATGTTAGAACCTTGTCTATCACACAGAAAAACCCTACCTTCCTTGACATTCACCATGGAAGAAAAAACTTAATTTAAAAATACTAATGAAACTTATAAGCATCCTCATTATCTTAAGGATCTCTGTATAAGGCCTCTGCTTTCAGTCTAAGAGCATCTTGATAGACTTCTGGGGAAGTTTTTGCCACCATAAACATAGTTGAACAATTGTTGTTTTTTGTCATTGGGAGGGAGATATTTGGGAATGTTAAAAGTATGTACAAAATAATACTTCTTCAAGATGAGTGTTACATGGGCATAGTTTTATGAACAGCTGATCCTGAGGAAAACAATCAATGTATTGATCTATACCTTAAGATGATGCCCATTCATAGGTTGTACATATGTACATGTATACATAAAAATAAGGAATACAAAGAGTGTTTCTATGTGTCTAAATTTGACAACTTGCATGGCATACCACAGGAAAATATAGTAAATACTTTCTAAATTTCAAACACAATCATCAACAATAGAATAAGCAAAGATAATTCAGCTAATTTGAGCAAAATATTTAGCTAATATTGTCACAGAATTTCTGGGAGGGTGAAAAAAGGAATTTACTACAACCTTTTAGTAACCTACAAATTACTAAATAATTATAAATAAATCAGTATTTTTTTTTTTTTAATCCTTACTTAAGGACACTTTTGCATTTATCTTCAGATAGAGTGGAAAGAAGAGAGGGAGGAAGAGAGAGAGAGAAACATCGATGTGAGAGAGATACATCGAGTGGCCGCCACCCACACGACCCCAACCGGGGCTGGGGACAAACTGCAACCGAGGTACATGCCCTTAGCAAGAACCAAACCCGAGACTCTCCAGTTCATGGTCCAATGCTCTAACTGCTGAGCAAACCAACCACGGTAATAAATCAGTATTTTAAAGAAAAAAAAAGCCAAAATTACAATGAAAATGCACCAAAGAAAAAGGTTTGCAAGATATCATATACATTACACTCTCTTCTCCATTATCAGGTTCATGGTTGGATCTAAAAGTGTTAGCTCCTTCTATTTCTGCAATACTTTTAATTCATTATAGAAAGCTTGGACACAGACATTTTCTCCCCAAAACATTGCAAATATAAAGTTATTCTTCATATTCTGTATATGTAGAATCTCAAATAGATGTAATATGAATCCATATTGTTAAATAAAACCTATTCCTTGCTGCCCAGTTCTTGCATCCCCTAAGGTAATGGCAGTCAGTGAATGTCTAAAGAGAGACAACATCCTGTGTACATTCCGCACTTGCCTTAAGGTGTTCTGATTTAAAACTCAGTTTGTGGAAAGTTATATCATTTATAAAAGAGAGCAAATACAGAAGAAAGAAAACAGTTCTTCATTCATGTCTAGTTTTCTATAAAGAAATTTTATACTAATGTGATTCTGCAACAGAAATATAAGAAAGAGGGGGGTAATTTAGATGAGAACAGAGTTTCTGAGTAGTCCTAATTGATTTCCTGATGGCAATTTTATATGAATTTGTACAAACAGGACATTTAAAAATTATATTTCTAGAAGCTGAATCCAACTTCTGGTAAAATTCTAAGATAACTTAATTACTCCTTGACAAAATACTGAATTGTTAAAGTCAGTATACTTTTATACATTTCTAGTATTCTCTAATATCTACACATAGCTAACTGGTTTTTCCTATTCTTGATGTTCTGAGTTGTAAATACAAGTTTTGTAGAAGTGGATGGAGGGGCCATTATTCCATGGAATTTATGTTAATGCTATACCTCAATTGAATCACTTTTCCTTCTCTCAAATTTAATATATACTATTTAATATACATTTTCTATATCATTTTTTTCCAGTAAAGTGGTAATTACATTTTAATGGTATATAGAGCAAAAGATATGATTTCATGTTGCCTTCTACCTTCTGTTTAAATAAACAGGTGACCTACAACATGATATTGTCTCTGTCAATATCTCAGCTTCTGCTATCAATACACCATTTAAATATGCATAACATGTATTTCATAACTTACATATCTTCAAAAATAATAAAGATATTTTAAATACATGTTACATATAAACTTAATTTTATATATTATATATAACTATTTTGATATAACACATACAGTAATCACCACAATTGTACAAAGACTCTATTATTTCAAATGTGAGGATTAATCATGAGTATCCATAAGGAAAATGTATTCATGCCATTAAGATAAATAACTATTAAAAGTCCCTCTCTTTTAGTTATGTGCAAATATTTGTTAAGTGACTAAATGAACAAATGTATATTTAAAAATTCATAGGAATATTTCTTATTAGAGTTTAAACTCCATTGGGGCAGAAACATATTTCTTTTTTTCACACAGTAAATAATACAATGTCAACACTTGATAGGATTTTGGGAAAAATAAATTAAGTTTAGGATTTATTTATTTATTTATTCATTTATTTTTAATCTTCACCCCAGGATATTTTTAAATCTATCTTTAGATAGAGTGGGAGGGAGGGAGAGAGAAGAAGAAAGATGGCGAGAGAGAGAAACATCAACGTGAGAGGGACAGATCAGCTGGATGACTCCCATACGGCCCCGACCAGGGCTGGGGACCAAACCTGCCCCTGACCAGAAATGAACTCACAACTCTTTGGCCAACACTCTAACTGCTGAGACAAAGCAACCAGGGCCTGGGGTTAGCATTTTTAATCTGCTCCCCTACTCGATATGTGTGTAAATTAATGAGACTACATTTTTCAAAATGCAAAAAAGTATACATTTTATGTACAGAAGTAGCAAAATATCCAATACCTACCACAATTTGCTAAAAGAAATACTGACTTACAATGAATGCTCAATAAATATGTTTTTTAATTTAACCATTCCCTCATAAATTATACATTCGCCCCACTGGTAATGCTATTTAACAAATATTTTGTCATTTCTGTTTGGAATTATCATTAGAGGCATATTATTTTCCATATTTGATCTCCTTGATTATGTTACTGTTTACAGAACACAAGAATAGTTTGCTACCATCAGAAATCCATGTATAATGTTATGAGAAATGTTTAGGTGGAAGTATACCTTATTTTGTCTGATGGGGCAAAATCATTAAGGTGAGAAGACCAGATTTGACATAATTCATTGAATTTTCTATAAATTTAAACAAATATTTAGAGGCCTAAGACAGAATGAATATAAACACAGAAAAGATAAATATGAACAGAAAAAATGTTTTTAAACATTTATGCATACATACATACATATATAATTTCACTCATCATTCTATATTTCAGAAAATTGTCTTTGAAGTCTTGGATAATTAAGCCAATTTTATATACCATGTTTTTATATAGGCACATTTAACATTCAAAATAAAAATCTCATTATGCAGATTTTAAAAAGTAAATAAAGTGTTACTACACTTGGAAGCAATTGATAGATATCTAAAATTGTTGGACTGTATTAACTATCCCAGGAGAAAAACCAATGGGACTCTAAATACTGATGAGTAATTGATTCAACATCTGAGTAATATTTATATTCTATTTATCTTTCTAAATTAGAGAAAAGTGACAGAGAAAAATAGAGTGATATTTACAAGTCCTTTAAAAAAGGTCATATTTACTGTGATTTGTTACTTATATGTTTATGATTTATTACAAAAATATAAGGTAGGCTTTAAAAATTTCAAAATCTGCAGCTCCTTTAACACCGCGATAAGTATCCCTTTTCTTGCCATCATCTGACGTTGTTCCTGGGTATGTTAAATGGCTTCATGTTTGCTTTTATTTTTCGCCAGAAACTTGTATTCTTCTGAAATGGATTATTTTATAACTTTAAGTGTTATAGCAGAAAACTAAGACTATCTCTACAGCAAACAGAAAAAGAAAGAGAATTTGATTCCAAGGATCATGATTTTCTAAAAATTTTACCTATTGAATGTAATCATTGAAAAGATGACTAAACTCCATTTAATTCAAGGACACTGTATGTGTTTCAAATACAGAGCCCCACTTTCGGCATGAGGACCTTGGGTAAAATTATTATTTCTGAGAGAGAAATCCAAGGACAATCAACCAGGGGCTAATCCATTGAACAACATGATTTCAGGTATGAACTGAATTGAGAATGCTTTACAATGTGTTTTCCAGAATGAGAATTATATATCGTATAGGCTTATATACAGATTCACAATTTATTTGAATTGTATATAAAAGCTAGAAATAAAAAATATTGGCAAGTTTATTTTGTACCACTGAAGTGACATCAGAAAGATGACAACTCTCCAACTAGGCAAAGGTGAGCATGGTCTGACCCACTTTTTTAAAATATGTGCTTGGATGGGCTACTTTTTCCTTGGTGGGTTTTATGACTATGGCCTTAAACTTTACTATTGATATAATCATTCCTTTACTAAACTGTCTTCGTTTTTGGCCTGGCCAGTGTTGCTCAGTTCGTTGAGAGTCAGTTGCTCCTTGCACCAAGAAATCAGGGCACATGCCCAGGTTGCAGGAGGCAGCTGATAGATGTTTCACCCCATCTCTCTAAAAAGTCAATAAAAACACACATACATATATATTAAACTTTTTCTGTTTATATAGCCATATTAGGCAAAGTTTCCATTACTGTATAGCTTTTTTTTCCCCCTTAAATATGGAACGCTCCAGGAATGTGCATGTCATCCTTGCACAGGGCCCTGCTAATCTTTTCTGTATCGTTGCAATTTTACCGTCCGTGCTGCCGAAATGAACACTAGCTTTTTTTTTTTTTTTTAATGAAAAATTTACCATTGAAACTTGTTTTACCTTTAGGTAACAAATTTTCTCTGAAAGCAAAGTTCTCTATCATCTTTCTCTGGTATCTGTAATCTGCTGCAATTATCTGCTATGAATGTAACTATTTTCCAATGTTTGTTTTACTTTTTGATGACATTCACTTTTTTTTTTTTCAGTGGCGGACATCTACAAATTTTTATTGTTCCACACTCTCAACTATTTCTGACACTAATTCTAGGTACAATGAGTGAAGCTATTTATTTTACTTTTGAACGTTAATTGAAGAAATAAAGCACTTTACAGTATAGTTATACTGGAAAGATTTTTATTTTAGTAATTTAAAAAATACAGATAATGTGGTATTTACCCATTCAATCTTCATAGCAAGCTTATAAGATATATACAATTATTATTCATTTTATGAGAAAACTGAGGTTCAGACAGGTTGCATGCATTACTCAAAATAACACAGCTAGAAAATAGAGAGCAGAGATTCGATCATAGGAACGCAGAGTTCACGTTCTTAATCAAAATGTAGTGCATGTCCTCTGAGTGAAATAAATAACTCGTTTAAAGAAATTGCATAAAGCAAATTTACCATTTATAAATACTTATTTAAAAAGTTGCAATATTATTTTATCAAAAATCTTTGCTGTCAACTATACATTGGGAAACTATTCCTTTGCTATTTTATATGTACTCAATGACAAATAAGTCACCACAAGCATAAAGGCTTAAAATAACACATTTATTTGTTCACATTTCCATGGGTCAGAAATTTAGGCACAATTTATCTGGATCCTCTGCTCAGGGTCTCACAAAGCTCCAATCAAGATGTAAGTTGGGCTACATGCTCATCTGGATGCTCAAATTTGGAAGAACAGTTTCCAAGATCCCTCCGCTTGTGGTAAAATTTATTGTCTTGTAATTGTAGGACTGAGTTTTCCACATTTTTGCTAGCTGTGAGGTCCTCAGATGCTGCCTCTTTTCCTTGCTATGTAACCCTTTTCCATAGACAATTCATGACATTTTCTTCTTCAAGACTGGCAAGAGAGTCACTATATTATGCCAAGACAGAGTCTTCAAGATTGTAACGTAATCACGGGGTGACATCTAATCACATTTGCCATTTGGGTTAGAAGCAACTCACTGGTCCCATCTCTACTCAAGAAGAGGAGATTACACAAATTCCTGGACATCAGAAAGTGGGAATTTATTGTGGGAGTCCTCTCAGGATCTGTGTCCCACAATAATTACAGTCATTTTAAATATGAATACCAAATTCTATGTCTTGGTTTGAATTAAGACAAAGAAATTTGGCATATTTACCTGACTCCTGTGATACCTTCTGAATCTAAGTAACATTTTGACATTCTTCAGAGAGGCTAACATGATAACTTTGAATGTTCGTGTATATCATTGCTACAGGACTGGCCAGATTTTGTCATTCTTGCTTCCCTGAGTCTCAAACACCCACCCACCAATTTATCCAATAAAGAGGACATTTCCTACTGTTTTCTCTATCAGTCTTCCAAGTGGCAAAGCTAAGGGAAATAATGATTGCAGTTACTTTTCTGAGTATTGGAAATAATACTGTGCAAGTGGAATATATTTCAACTTGGATTACTTTATTGATGGTTGCTCGATGATCGACCCACTCACAGCTGATCTGGGCAGCCCAACACTACTCAGCTTATGAATGTAAATGAGATTTTAATGAATAACACGTACTATATTGAGCATGACTTGAAAAAAGAGAAGCTTCTTGAAATTTCCCCCATTTGATTGAAACTGCGTCATGATACTAATGAAGTCACTTTTCATGCCATCCATATTAACGGTGTCACCATCCACAGGAATATGATTACTTCAGATTTAACTTCCAGATAGATATGTATATATTATTTATATTTATAACAGTTTAAGAAATTCTTACAAGTCTAGAATTTAGAAAATTTGAAAATGTTAGCTATTGAGATACTACCAATTAAAAAATGAGGTAACAAAATGTATTCTATGTGGAAGTGCTACTTTTGTAAATAACCTGGTTACTAATTAACAGGGAAGGAGCAAAGCGAAGGCCAAATTATATAGGCATGCAATTTGCTCAGCTTTGCCAGAAAGCTACAATTTAGATGCATGTCCAGCCCTGGCCAGTTTGGCTCAGCAGTTAGAGCGTTGGCCCGAGGACCAGAGAGTCCCGGGTTCAGTTCGGGCTAAGGGCACATACTTTGGTTGCAGTTTGTCCCAGGCCCCTTTTGGTGGCAGCCACTCAATGTGTCTCTCTCACATGGATGTTTCTCTTTCTCTCTTCCCCCCTCTCTCCCCCCTGCTCTATCTAAAGATACATGCAGAAGAATGTCCTCGGGTGAGGATTAAAAAATCAAAAATAGATGCATGTCTTGTATAATCTGGGTGACATAGGGAAGGTACTTGCCTGTCAGTCATACCTGGGAACAGGTCATTGGCCAGTGTAGGCACGGGAAGATTTGAGATACATAAGCTCCTAAACAAAGCTGTTCCGTTTCTTGTTCTCTTGTGCACCTGACTCTGGCTCTCTGGTTGCAGGGGGCGCACTCCCCTGCATTCACCTACATGGCTCAAGGCCACGTAGACCTCACACAATGGATTTTCAAACTGGAACTAACTTGATACTGTACTGGACCCAGCTCCACCAATGGAACAGAAACTGTGGAAACTGGCTTTGCTTCTAGCTCTGCTGAATCCCCAGCTGCACCTCTTCCAAGGCCGATTTAAGGGAAATGGGACTTTGCAAATCCATGGATGTAATTCCACACAAATAAAGCTTTCTACCACATCTCACCCTTCCATGGGGGTCTCTAGAAATGCTTATTCCAGCAGTGCCCCAAGAACTCCACTCACAGTAGCAATGGAGAAAGGCATTTCTCCAATAACAAAAGTACACACACAGCAAAAATAATAAAAATAAATTTTGTCCTTAAATAAACTATATTTCTTTGACAAGAAATGAGTTCAGATACATAAGAATATGGAATTCAGGGTAATTAAAAACACTAATGTGCTTGTGCTATGCTCATACATTTAATGCTTAATTTATTATTAAAGGCAGCTCCAGGCAAACAGATCTACTCTAAAAATTGCAAAGGACATTTCATTGACCAAAAATACTCAGCAAATAAGCTGGCTTTGTGCACTCACACATTCAATCATAAGTTGCATAACAGTTTTTAAAATGTGGTATTTTTTCAAGTGTATAATAAAGACTCTTGATAATGATTCACACAGACATAGATTTTATTTTACAGGGTGCTTAAGGCCTAAAATGTATTGGTTGGTTTTCAGCTGGATGGCTTCATTTTGTGGTCTCAGTGGTATTGATGGTAAAAGAATAAACATCAAATCGATGTTCCTTGTATTTCACAAGGAGTTCACTTATCTCATTAGATTTGCAAAGTAAGACTAAAAGGTAGAAATTTATTTAATATGGAGTTTAAAAAATAGAAAAATATGAAGGCACCCAGAATTTAAAGATATAACCCAGGTTCCATAGATCCAGCTACAATAGTTTTTGAGAAAATACAAATCACAGTGATCATTAAGCAGCTGATTTCAAGAATGATCTGTCAGTATATGTTAGGGCATGTGGCACATTACTATGACCAAACATTAATAAATCTTACACAATTGGTTTTAACTCATGGTTTTACTGTTTATTAGATCTGTCAATTTAGAATTGTTCTTTGACATCTCCCTCTAAGACTGGGTGCTTAAACAACAACACTTTCTCACAGTTCCAGAAGCTTGAAGTCTGAGATCCTGGTGCCAACATGGATAACCTATTCACCAGTTCTGGGAATTAGAACTTGGATAGCTTTTGTTTTGGGGGAGAGCAGGGGTGTTTATTCTACCTACCATACTTACCACAGTATTGTCAGGGTCCTACCACTAGAGTGCAATAGCTCTTTGTTTCTCTGTCTTTCCACTCAACATTCGAAATTCCAAAGCAGAATGTACAAGTTGCCTAGGTTGGGTCCTTATAACCACTATTGGGGTATGGGATGGAATTGTTATTCCGATCATTCTGTGATAAATAAGAGAATTTCTTGAAAATAAGTTGAGGTTCTGCTGCCACAGGGACAGAGGAATGAGTGAAAGAAGCCATGATATAACAAACGCCCCATATAATTAGTAAAAATTAAACTAACTGGCAAACATCACGTCGCACATGGAAACATATAATGTAATTAGTAGTATTGATATTTATTTTCCAAACTGCATTTCTGAGTAGATTTATATGACTACATATGAAGAAGAAAAACAGTTGTTTCATTGTCATGTTATTCTGAGAGCTATTCTAAGCACATGTTTTTCTTTGAAATTTAGTAACTAAATCGGCAAACTAAAGCATTGAGAAATTGTGTAGTAATGTAAACTGATCACAATTTTTCCTAACCTATTCAAGAATAAAATGTTTTGTTTTTAGATTTCTTTCTTAATTCTAATAAAGATCCAAGACAATGCACTCCTTGGGAAAGAATTATTTAGAGCAACATTCCTGAGTGTTACTGAAAGTGGCATAATCAGATGATTGGTATTACAAGAAAACTGAAAATTCATACTGTGCATTTAAAGTAAGACATTCAACTTCAATATTTCAATCAATGTGAGCAAAAGCTGTGTCATGGAGAGATGGAATAGTTTCACTGAAAATATGGCTTACAAAAAATGATTTTGTTATTTAATTTACTACTGTTTTGTATTTTTTAAAAGTATATATAACAACATAAGTACAACTGTTACTCTACTTAATTGATGTTGAACATGGCTTCTAACAACATTTCTTTAGTTCTGAGTCCTCAGTGATATATGCACAAGGGTTATTAAGATTCTCTTATCTTCATCCTGGCCATAAAATACATAAATTTTAACAGTGAAATGTATTTATAGAGTTATAGAGTATTCATGTGAATTAACAACACTTTCCTTAACATTGATT